TGGGGAATCTGCCTCCGGCTCTGGCTAGCCCAGCGCACTTCCGTGCGCGCTGCCAGCGCGGGTCTGGAGCTCCGGGCGTCGGTGCCGTGGCCCCCGGACTCGCAGGACCCCGGGCGGTGGCAGCTCTAGCGGACTACGGCCTCAGGCCCAACGGGAGGTGGCGGGGTCAGATGTGGGCAGGCGGCCCAGTCCACCCAGGTCCTGGCGAGCGCTGCGGGGGGCCTCGTCCCCTGGGTTCGCCGAAACTCCACCGCGACGGCCGCGTTCCTGCGACTTTAAAAGCTGGCTGGCGCAGACGCGGTGATGAATGGCCGTTTCCCTCCCCCACACTAGCCCACACAGTGAGTGAACTTAATTATAAACTTCCAGCGTGCTAGCGCAGCCTCTTACAAGTTCAAACAGCTTAGACCGGACTGGCTAGGGAGAGAATCAGCAGTTGTTTCAAATTCATGGAGTAGTCCAAACGGTAGCCCAGTGTACTAGCTGAAGCTGTGTGATTTCTGATACATAACTCATCGATGAATTCGATACACACAGAGGCCCAGGTTAAACTCTGCTGCGAGCCAGAAGACCAGCTGTTTCAACTCCAGAGCCATTCCCTGGGAGAAAGACGTGGCTGTCGCTTCAGTAAAAACCACAGCCTTGAAACCTCTTCCTCTGAACAGTTCGACGTTGTCCTGTAGGGTCGCTGTCGGTTTCGGTGGGTTAAACCCCAAACCAGACCTTCTGCCATCAAATCTATTCTGACCTTGTGGGACAGAAATGTCCTGAGGGTGTCCAAAACTGTAAATCTGAGGAAGCATATCGTCTCATCTTCCTTCTGAGGAGTGGCTGGTGGGTTCGGACAGCACACTTTTTGGCTAGCATTCGAATGGTTACACACTGACCTCCAGGGTTCCTAGGTGGCCTAGGTAGACTTAACTTTGGAGCTGGATGAAGGTATAACGGCATTAAAGAACCCCAGGCTTACTGTGGTGTCTCACCATACACGGACAACACTAGACAGAGGCTTTCAGGACGGGAACCAGGATCATTTTCCTTTATATTCCCAATGACTACCAATTTGCCAGACAGTCAGCAAACAGCCAGTAAAATGCTGAATGGATGAATGAAAGGTATGTCAGATGAGTAAGCTTTGCTTCAGAGAAGTAACTTCCCTACATTGTGAATTGTGTGCTCAAGCATGTGATAAGTTAGACAGATAAACAACAGAATCCAACTCACTGCGATTGAGTCATTTCTGACTCAGAGTGACCCTACAAAATAGGATAAAACTGCTCCTTTGGGTTTGCAGGACTTTAAATCTTTACAGGAGCAGGCAGCCTCCTCTTTGTCCTGTGGCGTGACGGATGGGTTCAAACCACTGATGTGGTTGGCAGCTCAGTATGAAGCCCACGCTACCACCAGGGCTCCTTAACAAGAATGCAAGTATAAGTGTATTGTGTGGATTTTTCAATCCTACTTAAACTGAATAGTGGTTTGGGATTTTTTTTCCCCCAAAAAAATAATGATCTCAAACTCAGCCATATTGTGCTTTGCTGAAGCCAATAAGCAGATTCGGGGAGCAGTGACGTGTTACCTTGAAATGTATGCAAAACAAAAGAAAGGATCACAGAGGCAACTCTCACTGCCATATTTGAGATGCCATCATCGTGCCCAGCGGTAAACCAGATGATCCAGAACCTTCCATATGTGGAATTAGTGCAAATGACAAAACACCTATTTCCAACTCTTCTTCATTTTTGGAGTTATTTTTTTATGATTTGTGTGTTTTTGTTTTATGTAAATCTCTATATATTAACATTTATAAGTTTCTATGTACTGTTCCCAGCTCACCAGGGCAAATAAGGATTAGATTTATAAAGATGTTGGTAATAAAGTCAATAATAATGAAAAATTTTTTTAAAGTTGACTTACATCTGAATCTATTTATGACTGAGTTGTTGGAATGCAGCCCATCAGAAGTCAGAGACTACCTGTATCACAAAGCTCCGGGCACATCCTAAAAAGCTGTAGCTAAGGTTTTTCCTAAAAGAAAGCGTAAACTGAGATAGTATTTTTGGCGGGCGATCCTCTAGGGATCAATCCATTGATCACGAGGTGTCGAAGGGATCAGTTATCAGGCATCATCAAAACAAAAAATTATATCATTGTGAATGGGAGGGGAGTGTGGAGTGGAGACCCAAAGCCCATGGGTACGGAAGGGTCTCGGGAAGGAGACGAGCCAGTCAGGGTGCAGTGGAGCAACAATGAAACGTACAACTTTTCTCTAGTTCCTAAATGCTTCCTCCCCCAGCCCCCACCCCCACTATCATGATCCCAATTCTACCTTGTAAACCTGGTTAGACCAGAGGATGCACAGCAGTACAGATAGGAACTGGAAACACAGGGAATCTAGGACAGATGAACCCCTCAGGACCAGTGGTGAGAGTGGTGATACCGGGAGGGAAAGGGGGGTAAGAAAGGGGAAATGGATTACAAGGATCTACATATAACCTTCTCTCTGGGGGATGGGCAAGGAAGGAAGATGCCGGGCAGTGTAAGATAAGATAAAATAATAATTTATAAATTATTAAGGGTTCATGAGGGAGGGGGGTGGGGAGGGATGGAGAGGGGGAAAAAGGAAAATGAGCTGACTCCAGGAACCCAAGCAGAAGGCAGATTTTGAGAATGACGAGGGCAACAAATGTATAAGTGTGCTTTACACAATTGATGTATGTATGGATAGTGATAAGAGTTGTATGAGCCCCAATAAAATGATTTTTTAACAAAATAATCAATCCATTACCAGCCAGCTGATTCCAACTAATGCGATCTCATGTGTCACAGAGAACAACGCCATAGGATTGTCATGGAAGCAGCTTGCTAGACCTTTCTTAGATAGCACCCCTGGGTGGGTTCCAACCACCATCTTTTAGGTTAACAGTGGAGGGTAAACTATTTGTGCTACCCAGGAAGATTTTTGTTTTGGTAGACACATATTTCTACTCACTGGGTTGCTTGGTACACTGCAGAGGTCATGAGGGTGCACCTATACACCCAAAGACTATTTTGTGCCTTAAGAGCCTGAGAACTAGTACCCAAGAAAACCCAGATAAGAAGGCAGATAATAGACATCTAAACTCTGGACCGACTCAGTATGCCTTCCCACATCTCAACTGCTGGCCCCAGAACAGAGATCCAACAGATCAAGGAAGAGAAATTCTGGAGAATTAGATAAAGGAAAAAAGTCAAAAGAATGGCAAAGGTGTGTCCAGAGAAGGTTCTGTGAACTCAGCTGTCCACACCAAGTAGGCCTGCACGCAACTACGGAAAGCATACATGCTCACGTCTTCTGTGTTTCCTTCTTTGCTTCATTTCAAGTGCGCACCCTTGTGAAATAGGAGCTATAGCAAAACCTTTCTATTTGACAAATGCCTGGGCTCACTCGGGGGCTTACAAGCCTCGGTTATAAATGTTGTCATCTTTGAAACCTTTCTCACCAGGGCAGCCATTCTTGAGTAGCCTCTATGCAATTAGCCCTGCAAACTGAGGACATTTTTTTAAATCATTTTATTAGGGGCTCATACAACTCATCACAATCCATACACATCAATTGTGTAAAGCACATTTGCACATTCATTGCCCTCATCATTCTCAAACATTTCCTCTCCACTTAAGCCCCGGCATTAGGTCCTTATTTTTCCCTTCCCTCCCCGCTCCCCACTCCCTCATGAGCCCTTGATAATTTATAAATTATTATTTTGTCATAGCTTTCCCTGTCCGACGTCTCCCTTCACCCACTTTTCTGTTGTCTGTCCCCCAGGGAGGGGATCACATATCGTTCCTTATAATAGGTTCCCAACTGAGGACATTTTTGCCCCAAACACAGTAAACTCACTGCCGTGGAGTCAATTCTTGTGTATCTTACTGTTAGGAAGTCATATTTTGACTCACAGCGACCTTCTACACCAGAGTAGTACTGCTCCTTAGGGTTTCTGGGACTGTAAGTCTTGACCGACGTCAATAACGTCATCTTTCTCTCATGGAACAGCTGGAGGGCGTGAACCACCAACCCTGGGACTGCTCACCCAGTGTTTAAACTATTTGCCACCAGAGCGTCTTGAAATTGTTACAAAAAACCAAAAGCTGACTGCCATCAAGTTGATTCCCACTCATCTCCAACTCACTGACATTGAGTCCATTCTGGCCCTCAGTGATCCTACAGCACAAAGTAGAACTGCCCCTTTGAGCTTCTGAGCCGGTTAATTTTTACAGAAGCAGAAAACCTCCTCTTTCTCCTGAGGAGGAGCTGGTAGGTTTGAATAACCAACCTTGTGGTTAGCACTTCTATGTTTCAATCACTTTGCCACCAGGGCTCCTTGAAGTTTTTATAGGGCATTTCAATTTAGCCACCACTGGCCCAGAATCCACTATGTGTCAGTCAGGTATGGTGTTCATGAGAGTGGAAAAGTATGCTTTATTCTGTGGAGGAAACAACTATGCCCCTTTGCCTATTATATTATGCTTTAAGTTTTACAATATCAATTTTCCAACCCCAAAACAGAACTTCAGAACTGCATTAAGTCTAATGCCTATCTTAACAGA